AGTAGTAGTAGTAGTAGTAGTAGTAGTAGTAGTAGTAGTAGTAGTAGTAGTAGTAGTAGTCGTAGAAAAGTAAAAGTAATAGTATTAGTACTAGTATTAGTAGTAGTAGCCGACTTAGCCGACGGTCGTTGATCAGCCGGCCGGCCGGCCGGCTGGACCGTGGATCTTGGCCGGCCGGCCAGCTGGACCGTGGTTCTTGGCCGGCCGGCCGGCCGGCTGGCTGGCTGGCTGATCGAGAAATAGCGGGCCGCGATAAGCTCGCAACGCACGATACAATTGCAAAGAAATCCATTGTTATCAAGTGGTTGAGAAACTCCTTTGAGTGGAACATGGTCGAAACCGCCAACCTGTTGCTCAGTTCGACCTCTTCCATCGCCTCGGCCACCTTGACACCCAGGGATCATCTTCATCGTTGCTGCAGTTGCATCGCCATCTTCATGAACATCTACAAGAAACTGCTGAAGCTTCAGGGAACCATAGTCCAAAACCACTTTGACATGGCTCTTGGTCCATCACCCTCCCCCCCACCCGTCCTTTTTGGAGAATGTCCACCTCGACCCGTCTCCCTCAGTTCCCCTGGCTGCCAGGCTCCTCTTCGCCATGACCATCCAGGTATAGCGAGCCCCAACAGGTGATGAAGCCATCCGCGACGATGTGCACAAGCCTCCAGACATGACGCCGTGTGACACCATGAGGCATCTGAAGGTGAAGTAATTTGATGGGACGAAATGAAGATGGAAAATGAATGAAGAACCTTCTCCTCCCCGAGAAGGAGTAGATTTTACTGTAGATGTTTTTAGTACTCTGCCAAAATACAATTGGGGGTGTCACCATTTATATAAATGGGGGGAAGGGATTTTGGAAAAAAAGAACGGATCTGAGGGTGTGTTGGAAGCTCCGTTCCCAATTCTTCCTATCAGTGCTCAGTATAAATCCCTCAGCACCATCAATTAGCCTCTTCCATGGTTTTTCCTTTGCATCCTCACATGTTGTCTCAGAATCACCAGATATATTTGGGTGTGTACGACAATTAAGGAGACCTCCCACAAAACGCCCTGCTTGGAAGGTTCGTGAAATGGACCAGTCTACCCATTGGGCCAGACAGGGTCTCCCTCTTAAAATCCACGTCTCACCCGGGCCGGGACCCACCCCTTCGCTGCCGTTTCGACCGCCCGCTGAGATCGTGGCGAGTTGGAGAGCTGCAAGAAGACGCAGGTCCCAAAGCCGCAGACCTCACCGGGTCGGGCGGCCCGGTGTAAGGGTCGGGTGGTGAGATGGATGGGTGATGGGTGATGAGTGCGAGGACTTGAGGGGCCCCTGGATTGGTGAACTGCATTCCCATGGTTCTTTTGGTTTTGTTCCATCAATGCGATGCTCAAACTGAGTTGAAAGTGGTGAACTGCACTGGATGTTCGGAACTGCGGGTGAAGCACGATCTGGTTTCCTCAGTAGATCTATAGCGCTTTCTTGGCACTGACCCACTCAAGTTCCCTTTCCAACCGAGGGAGACGTTCGAAGAACACACCAAAACGCCGGCGCTTTCGCCACGCTTTCCGCGGCGCGCTTTCCGTGTGGTGCACCTCGCCTGTGCATGCTGTGTCACTTCGCCCACCATCTGTCCATTCTCACCCAGTGGGCGGCGACAGCACCTGGGGTGGAGGACCGGCGACCGTCCGTGGGCGGAGCTGGTAGAAATAGGGAGGACCTGGTCCCCATGGAATGTTTCTCTGTTCTTCTAGCATGTTTCTTCGAACAAAACAACAACAACAACGACAACAACAACAAGACCCGGCCAAGCCGGGTCGAACAAGTTTCTCGGCCAAGGCACTCCGTTCGTCTGCGCTCAAACGGTCATGGCACCATACCGAACAACCGGTTGACCTGGAACCACCGGGTCGTTCGTGGCAAATGGTGGAGCAAGGCCTCCTAGTGCGTCATACCCCATCCCCAGCTCGGTGGAACTCCTGCTCTCTCTCTCTCTCACTCTCTGACCTGTGCGACTTGCAGGGAATGAGGGCAAAGGAATCTCTACTGGGGGCTCATTCCCTCATTCCCTGCTAAGCACCAGTCAGTCAGTCAGTCAGTCAGTCAGTCTCTCTCTCTCTCTTTGTAACCAGTGACTCGGAGTTGCAGCACAGGAAAGTCCCACAAAGGAGACACAGCGTCGGGATGGACCTGGAACGAAGCGCCCCTCGCTGTCGAGAGGGTGGCTGGGTACGCGGAGGTTTGGGGGGTGGGTTCACGTGGACGGAAGAAACATCCGGAGTGTAGGGTGTATAGGGTGTTTGGTCCGCGATCTTGGATTGGGGCCGTTGATGTGATCGGGGTACACTAGCTAGAAGTATCATGGACGGACAATGGCCCCTTGGATGATCATTTTCCTCGACAAACAGGTGGTTTTCAATTCCATGACTATACTATGAGGGTGTGTAATTTGTTTGTCATAGTCATATTTGTCCAACGGGCAAAAAAATCCACCTCGCATGCCAAGTGTCAAACTCCATGTCTGTGCTGTATCAAGATCTCGCGCCATTTTCGGCATGCAGTAACAGTAACTGTAACAGTGAATCTGCGAGTCTGAGTGGCCAGCGATGAAGTTTTGCACACCTCGGCTGAACCAGACTGTAGCCCAAAGGCTGGGCACCACGAAGGCGGACCGCAAGTTTACCTCCCAACAACTCCCTCAGTCTGACTACAGTACTGGTCCTTACATAGGGAATAAGGGAATGAGCTCCCAATCAATGTTGGATCCATTCCCTCATTCCCTACTAAGCACAATTCAGCAGTTTAATATACTTTTCCGTACTATTCCGGGTGGACCGGACGCCTGAACTCCTACCCAATCCATCTCTGGACGTCGGCAGCGTCCGAAAACGTCCGTCTGAATATATCGCCGGTCTCAGCAGGCAGGTCTCAGCTGTCCAGCTGTCCGCTGTCGGAGCTTGCAAAAAAAGGGTCCCGAAGACGTTCATCAGCTAGGTTTGGACCCACTGTCGGAGTCTCCATTGCCATGAAGACCTTTCTCTCAGCGCCATGAAGACCTTCTGGCGTTGAGTCTCGTCATCTATCGTTTCTCTCAGAGTCCTACTCCTCTTCGGCATGGTTTCTGTCTTTATGTGGATCTATACCCATGTGCAAGAATGCGCATCACCACTGCTACAGTCGGCTCCAAGAAACCAACATGCCACCTGATGCCATATGTCACTGCCGAAGACTGTGGTCCTCTCTAGTGCTATGTGTCTTGTCCAATCGCATAAGGAGACCTCTGCAGCCGTTTTCGGGTGCCCCGGCCGTGCATCGCGCATGCACGAACCTGGACCGGTCATAGGGCGGTCATCCACCGGGCGAAGAAGGACATCCACGGTGCCGCAAAAAGCGGAACCTTTGCACATGGGGAGTATGTCCAACACGAGCCAAAGAGGATGTGGAGTGTTAAATGGTTGAATGAATAACTCTACAACCCTACAACCCCCAGATGTACATTTATTGATTAGAAGGTGAACTTTAGCTCGCAAGTCGTGCAGGATTTCCTCCTTTAAGAGTGTTTTCACAGCATCTCCTCTAGAAGCTAGATTGATCTAGACAGGATTGTACTGTGATAGAACCTGGATCGGAATCCCCTAATATTCGACGTGTTAATTAGGTGAGGTCACCATGTTGTTAAAACATCAATAGTTAATGAGAACACATCTGGGATGGGATCTGGGTAGGGCTCAAATTGATTCCTACAAAGGCACCCGAAGACCATGGCCGTTCATCACCGTCATCATCATCATCATCATCATCATCATAACCAAAATTATCATAAGCATCATCTTATTCTTCTTCTTCATCAGCGTCATCATCTTCATCAACAAGGCTTTTCGGTGCTTTTAGGAAAGATGAACCTAGAGCAACAATGTTGAAAGGACTTTGTGCTCACAAACAACATTTCCAAGGCAGGGCAAATACAGGCATGAGGCATTCGGATTGATGTAGGATGATGTAGGCAATGGAGATCCAGGACAACAAATCCTTCCTAGGTAGGACTTCCAAAATAGATCAAAGATCAAATAGCTTTGTCAGAACATACTAGCCACCCCCTCTCCAAAATCCGTTCACAGACCCAACATGTTGTAACTGTAGCCCCATCCCCATTGCAAAACGACGAATGGCTCAGTTGATTTGGATCATTGGACTCGACCTTCTGAAGAAGGACAACGGGAAGTTGCCTTGTTGGCCTGAATTTCGGGGGTCCGAGTACCTGCGTTTTGGTTGCTTCCATGTAGTTTCCTCGCACTCTGTGGCTCAAAAACGCAGGGGCACGTGGATCCGGCGTTGGATGATGCAGTGCATTGAAACTTCTGGTAGAGCCAGTAGAAAGGTATGATTGGTGTGCCTGAAAAGAAGGAAACACTGGCCCAGTCCAACCCTTTGTAAAAGACCAAAATAGAAAGTCTGCGAAGCCGGCACAGGTGTCGAACAACAGTGACACTGGGACGTGGAAAGTGACCCCAGCAATAGGGCAAATATCAAAAGGGAGTCATCAAAGTGGGGAATTATGTTTATGGCAGTTACATATACTGTGTCTAGCCACTGCAACTTATGATTTCTCTGGGAGCCACTGGCTGCCAACAAACATCCATGATCTGCCAACTGTCGTATAGTTTTCTGGGGCTCCAAGCTGTGTGTAGAACTTCTGGTACACATGGCCAGTGATGATAGGCCTCGCCGTGCCAGCCCTTGATATAAAAACTAGACGACGAGTGGCCCGAAAGCATTTTTCATCACGTAGGAAGTCAGAGTGTGAGTTATCTGTTAAGTGTTCAATGTGAAGTGTTAAGTCGAGTGAGTTTTGGCAGTGTGTGGGTCTCTGTGTGTGTATCTATGTCTGTGTGTGTATGAGTCTCTGTCTGTGTGTGTGTCTCCGAGTAAGTTGAGGCAGTGCGTGGGTCTCTGTGTGTGTGTGTCAACCTTTTAAGAGAGCCGGGTGGTCGGGAGACATGACTCAGCTGCAGGGGCGCCAGAGCAGCTGCGAGAGATGACTCAGCCGCGTACTAAAGTTGTACTGCAAAGTCACCAGTTCTCAGCTTCCAGCTCCACAGATTGCTCCGCGTACTAAAGTTGTACTAGAAAGTTGCCAGTTCTCATCTTCCAGCTCC